TACAAAGGCTCCACAGGCCTTGTGCCCCCCACTGCTCACCGCCCCTCGAAACCGCCTCGACATAGGAATTTATAAAGAGTAAACTCATGTGATGATGGAGGCTGGCAAGTCCAAAATCAGCAGTGGGGGTCAGAAGTCAAGACCCAGGAGAGCCGATGGTACTGATGGCGTCCAAAGGTACTGCACAGCCATTTACAAACGTACATGGCTCCGGAGGTGCTGGCGGTAGTGTTTACACAAGAATGTGAAAATATAGGGGACTCCCTGGTGGCCTAGGGGTTAAGTCTCAGTGCTATAACCACTGTGGCCTGAGTTCCATCCCTGGCTAGGGAGCTACCCACATGGTGCAGCAGACCTCTCCTGTCTCCCCTGGTGCTCCCCTCAGCAATGTGTTTCAGTCAATCTGCCTGTTCTGCTCCCCACTCTGTCTCTGGTGAATACTCTCACCCCCCTCACCGCTGGCCTGCACTCTAGTTCTTCTATGTAAAAATTTAAAAAAAAAAGTGACTATATTAATACTTAATGCCGCAAAACTGCATGCCTAAAAATGACTAAGCTGGTACATTTTCATGTGTTTTACTACAGTTAAAAATAAACTATTAAAGGAAATTGATTTAATATTTTAAAACAACCTTTTATTATCTCATTATTTCTGTGGGTCAGAAATTTAGAAGTGGCGTAGGTGGGTGGTTCTGGCTCAGGACTCTTTTAAGTTTGCAGTCAGGAGGTGGCTGGGGTCGCGGTCTGAAGGCCTCACAGGGCTGGAGGATCTATTTCCAAGATGGCAGCTCCCATGGTGGTCAGCTGGAGGCCTCAGCTCCACCCTAGTGGTTGGTAAGGTTAATCTCTCATCACATGGAACTCTAAATAAGGCTGCTAAAGCCTCCTCGTAACAGGCAGCTGGCATCCCCAGAGCCACCCAAGTCATCTGAGAGAGAAGCCACGTGGCATTTATGATTTAGCCGCAGGTGACACACGCTCATCAATTATGCAACATCCTCTTTGTTAGACGTGAGTCACTGAGTGGGGCTCACACCCAGGGAAAGGGGTATTAGATGCCGCCCTTTGAAGGGACTAGTGTTAACGACTTTGTAGACATGTTTTAAAACTAGCACTAGAACTGACATGGGAATAGATTCCAATAAAAACGACTTAATTTTTCTAAGCTTCTGTTTGCTCAAATGACATTGGCAGAGCCATGGAGTTTGAGATTGGCCTTGTCTGGGTTTCCTTGGCCTTCATGGTAGGGGTTCCCTCACCAAAAAGAAGTCAGATTCTGTTTCTAGAAGGAAGGGGAAGGGGATGCTAGGCAGTCACACCTGTCCAGGTGTCCACTGCACCATCATTTTGGTGTCAGCAGCGTCAGCGTGAGCACCGACAGTGTCCTTCCCACCTGCCCTTTGTCCTGTGTGATTTAGAATGAGAGGACTCTCAGCATTTAAATTCTTTTTTTAAAAAAAACTGTAAAGCACATTACATAAAGGTTACCATTTTAACCATTTTAAGGGAGATTTTGGTGATATTTGGTACATTTACATTATTGTATGCACCATCCCCTGCATCCATGCACAGAATTCTCTCATCTTCCCAAAGTGAAATGCACTACCCATGGGGCATGGCACCCTGCTCCCCCTCCCTGCAGCCCCTGCTCACCACCGCTGCACTCTCCATCTCTGCGAATCCATCAGCCTAAACCACACCTAAGTGGAATCATACTGGATTTTTTTTTTTTTTGGCTTGCAAAGCCTAAGATGTTTGTTATTTGACCATGCGTGCTTGTGTGTGTAATTTTTTTCTTTATTGAGGTAACATTGTTTTATAACACCGTATGTGATTTAGGGGAATAGGCTCACACCTTCTCAGATGTATGTTACCACCCCATCCCCACTTTCCTTCATGCTCTTTAAACAAATCATGTATATCTAGATTAAAACGAAAAACATTTTCCAAGGAAGGGGTCCTTTCAAGGATCAGAATGCAGGGAAAGTGAAGTTATCAGGCTTTTTTCTGCCTTCCCATCTCTAGCCTCTGCGGCTACTACCTGAGGCCTTGCCTTACTCCTAGGTTGCGGGGGCCTGGGGCTGAGAGGTGTATGTGCAGGGCATGTGCCTCTGTGATTATGGACACCTGCACCTAGAAGGGGGGATAGTAGGGTCTTCTTAGCTCCAATAGGCGTGGCATCACTCTGAGGCTGTAGGCTCAGTTGCTGCCTCTCTGCTTGTATCAGTCCCCTGATTCAGCATTAAAGCCCTATAAAGTCTCCTGAAGGTTCCAAAATTCTCTTTTTGTCTGTGAGCATCAATAATGAACCCACCTGGCCTAGGATGGTTGCACAACAGAATTAGTGGCCACCACAGTGAGGAGAGAGCTTAGTGGTGAAGAGCAAAGGGCTGGGAATAAGGAGACCTAGATTTGATTATCAGGCTATGCCATCCCTGGCAATGGCCCAGAGGGGTTGGGATTCTCATCTGTAAAATAGAAGCCATAACAATCCTCAGCACATAGCGCTCTTGTGCACTTAACATGACATGATGTGAGCAAAGTACTTAACAGGATGCCTGGCTTATCCTCTGCCTAAGAAATTGTTGGTATGGGACAGGCTGGCTCAGGTAGACACCTGACTCAACTACTTTTGCTTAGGTGTTAAAAAACAAAACAGAAAAGCCATCATTTTAGTTAAATGTTTGCTTTAAACACAGCAAAAGCAAAGACCAGAATTGGGATTTTGCTGACAAAATAACAATTTCAGCAAGTTGAACAGCCTGTCTTAAAGTAGCCTCCGAAGCAATCATTTCAGCTGAACACAGAGGGAGGGAACGTTTCTTTGCCTTCAAAAGGTCCTGGCTCAGTTATAATTATTAGAAGAAACTCCAAACGCCCGGATGAGGTTGCTCAGTCTCATTTTGTGCAGTGTCTGTTATTAAAAGGTTTTGCTTCAGCTTTTTTTCCTGAATTTGAGCAAATAAACATCCAGTGTTTTCCAAGCATTTCCACTCTGGGTTGCTCCCAACAAAAGCAAGAAATAGACTTACCCGCTAACCCAGATAAAAATAAAGGCTGACACCACTGCCCCACATCTGGTGAGCAGACAAGTTCACTAACTCAGCTAGGATGCAAGTTCCTCAAGAGCAGGAAACCTATATTAGACACCCCGTAACCCTAGAACAAGGCCGGATATAGGTTGGATGCGGAACATATGTTAACTAATTGAAAGAAGGAAAAACAAAGCACTGCCCTTATTGAGAACAGTAACCCCCCCACCCCTCAACCCCAACCCCTCCTGATGTGGCCCAATGTGGTTTTGATGTTGAAAAATCCCTCTGGGGTAGTATGGAATTTTCATTCATTACCACTGGGAGTAGAAATAGAAACCACCACTCCGGAAAAGCAATTGGCAATGTGTAAGGAGAGCCTTAAAGCTCTAAACATAATTATGTTCACTAGAACCTAATTCATAATAGTTTTACATAAACAAATGGAAAGGTCCCACAATAGAGGCCAGGTAAGTGCAGGACAGTAGCTCCATTGAAAACTGTTCTAGTGATAGTTTTTAAAAGATGCTTTTCCCTCCTTTCTTGGCTTTAATATTGAATTCCTGCAATGTTTCAGGCACTGTTCTAGACTTTGGGGATCCATGAAAAGAAAAAGAAAAAAAAAACTTCTGGTGGTGTTTCCATTTTGGGAGGAGGGAAGTGCTAGCAGGAGGCAGGGAATAAAGGTTGAGTTGGAGGGCAGTGAGTCATCTACAAAAGCCGAGTAAGGGAGGGGTGGCGTGGATGTGAAGAGGGGGTGACCTGGCTTTTGATCTGTGTTTAAAATAACATGGTCAGTGTGAGCATCATTCATTATGGGCATAACCAGGTGGAAGGTGCAAGCCAGACAGTTAACTGGTTGGCTTTCAAAACTGTGATAGTGGCAAAAGCTCCTACTACATGAAAAGCAGGGCGCAAAGGTCCGCATTAATGGAGGAAAACTGGAAATAAATAATAAAGGCAGCAACAGGGCCAATTCCTGCTCAAGGTAGTTTGTAGGATAAGATTTCCATTGGATGAGTTCATTTTTTTTTCCCTTCTGCATTTTCCTTTTTTATCCTCACTGTGATAAATGTGACACCTTAACGTTTTTTAAAAAAAGACAAAACCTTGAATAAGAAAAGGCACAGGGCCTCCCGGGTGGCACAGAGTGTTGAGCACTACACTATGAGGCTGTCTGCAGCCTCTGCAGCGCGGGTTCCATTCCCGGCTGGCCAGGGAGCTACCCACATGGCGCGGCAGACCTCTCCTGCCTCTCCCGCTGCTCCCCTCAGCAGTGGATTTCAGTCAGTCTGCCAGTTCTGCACCCCACTCTCTCTGGGTGAATCCTCCCACCTCCCTGCACCTCGGGCCTGTACCCCAGTTCTTGTATAAATAAATAAATCTTTAAAAAAATTTAAAAAAAAAGGCACAAGTCCAAGGGTGGGTGGGCGGGCTGGGCCACTGCCCGCCCCGCCCACCGACAGCTCCGCCCACCGACAGCTCCGCCCACTGCCCGCTCCGCCCCGCCCCGCCCACCGCCCCGCCCCGCCCACCACCCGCTCCGCCCGCAGCCGGCAGGGGGCGCGCGGCCTCCGCTCGGCGCCGCCGATCCGCGCCGGCCCGCTCCGCGCCCTGGGGCCATGGGCTGCGCCCGGAGCCGGGCGCGGAAGGGTAAGGGCCGCAGCTGCGGGGACCGCGCAGGGTCGGGAGCGCCCGAGGGCGAAGGCGCGGCGCCGGGGCGCGGGCCCGAGCGGTGCCGGGCGCGAGCGGGCCGAGAGCCGCCCTCACCCGGCTCGCGCCCCCCGGTGGTTGGGGACCGGCGCGGCGGAGCCCCGGCCCTGCTGCGCCCCGCGTCGCGCTGCCCCGACGGGGCGGCCCCGACGTGCGCAGAGCTGGCGAACCCCCGGCCCGGCCCGGGCCCCGGGACGTCCCGCGGGCGGAGCAAGGCCGCCCCCTCCGGGTTTCCCAAGGCCGCGGAGGCCGGAGGCCGGGCGAGGGGCCGCGCTGGAGGCCTTCAGAGAGGTAGGGGCGAAGGAGCCTGCGCCCGAGGACCTGGGGAGACACCCCCGGGGAGGCCCCAGCCTGCCTTTGCTCGCGAGCCTGGAGCGCGAACCCTTGTGACAAGCACCTGTCCTCAGAGAAATATGACAGGGGAGGGGAGCAGACATCTTCCTGAGCCCCCCGAAAGCCACCTCACCAGTCACCTCACCTCTCGGCAGCCAGGGGAGGTGACAGGGCCCGAATCTAAAGCACTGAAGTGCCCGAAAGAATGTTGGGCCTGTTGAACCGGAGATTCTGGCTGGGCTAGGTCTCCATTGGGGCGCCCCTGGGCCTCCCTCCCCCATACCTTCTCCATCAAGAATTTTACCCAGATCTTTCCCCTCCCTCCACCCCCTTGAATCTTAGAGACACTGAGTCCTGAGTTCCCCCTGAGTTCCCCTGAGATGAGACACGGGCTGCTGGGCCCCCCACGTTGCAGGCAGGGGCGGCGGCTGGCAGTTACTACCTGACGTTTTCATCCTTTCACGTGCATAATCCTGCTTCCTTGTACCAAGCACACTGTGAGATAGGTTGGTCCGAACCCCCATTTTACGGATGAAGAAACAGCCACAAAGAGCTGAGGAAACTTGCTCAGATGCACTGGTGTGTAGCAGGGCTGGGAGGCCGGGCAATTTGAGGCCCAAGCCCAGGTTGTTTCAGGTGTGAAATGCGAGGCCCATAAAATCAGTCTCCCAGATGAGGAGCGAATGGGGAGCTGGTGCGGATTTGACTCTTTCAGAGGCTTATCCTTTGCAGCCCAAGGGGAAGGGGTAAGAGGCGTTGGAAAGCCAAGGGGAGAAGGCAGTGCCCTGAGAGAATCCAGAGGAGTCAGGGGTGTTGGAATGGAAAAGATCATTCTTGCTTGGGGGGCAGCCTAGAGACAGTGAGGAGCTAAAACCCCGCTGGAGTTGAGGACTTGAGTTGGGGAAGGGATTGTAGGGGAGAAGCTTAGGTGACTCAGTGCCTGCTCAAGGTCAAGTGGCCAGCCTTGACTTTCTTCTCACCCACACCATGAAGGAGTTTGAGTCGGTATTCCCAGACTTGTCTTTAGGGTACCATCTTCAGGATTTCCCCACTATAATGTCCTGCACCCACCATTTAAAGTACTTTTTAATTAAAATATATTGTGCATCCAGAAAAGTGCAATCATCACGGTACAACTTGCTACATTTTCATTGTATCCCAAGGCAGCACCCAGCTGACATTTCCTGTACCCCAGAAGCTCCCTTTGCGCTTCTTACTCCCCCACCAAGGGCAACCCCTAATCTCTTTCAAATCACCTAAAGGTTTCACCTCTTCTACATTTGCTTATTGAAAGAAAGTGTGTTGTTTTAAGCACTAATCTATGAGACCATGCAGTGTCCTAGATCTTTCTGTACACATACAACTATGCATCCTAGTGAAATTGTAAATATTCTTTCACATCTCACCTATAAACATTCTAGAAGTGACTTTCCTTGATGATAATCTTTACACGACAAATTTAGCAAAATGCTGGACTGCTTGAGCTGTAAGTTACCTGTCAAGACGATGACTTCTTTAATGAGCAACCAGAATCTGGCCTAAGTTGTAATGAGGATGTCTTGATTGAGTGACTCATCAACAAAGCCTCTACTACTTAGCAGGCACTAGGGACTCGGCAGTGAATAAGGCATGCGCCCAGCCCTTGGACGGACAGAAAGTCTGAGAAGAAGAATGACATGGGAAATGCAGCGTCATCCTGGGTAATCCTGGAAGTGGATGAGTGTAAGACGCTCGGGGAAATGATTGAGGGAGTTAATTTCTGGGCACTTAGAGTCTGACTTGTATTTCTGCGGTGACACGTTTCACTCTATTTTAATTAACTTGTAAATACTGTGCCAGGGGGATTTTGAGGATCAGGAATATGTCTTGTTCGTTATGGTATCTCCGTGGTCCTTGGCACACTGCTTTATAGGGATGGAACTCAGTAAATGTATCCGTATAGAGTATGTGGCAAAGGTGAGGAAATCCCCAAACGTCAGTGTTATTAATGATGACTGGCTGCTGTAGTCAGGCAAGGAGACACTGTTTCTCAGCGTGTAGTCCTAAAGTCACCTTCAAGAGAACTCATTACACAAGAGGTGCAGGTTAAAGACTCATGTTCCTGGCTTCTATTCCAGACCTGCTAAATCAGGCTCAGAGTATTGAACCAGGAATCACCACTTTCGGTGCCTTAGGTCATTCTGTTTGAACCTGATCAGGAACACTGCAGTGAGGTGTTGGGGCTAAGGTCAAACTACCTTGGGGCAGAGAGAGGCTCCTCTTCTCAACAGTGGGCCCGAGGCTTGGGTGGGGCACCACTGCAGATTGTTGGGACTGATAAAGAAACAGAAAGCTGTGAGGCAGAACCAAGCCTGGTTCAGACTGACTTGCTAGTGATCTGTAAGTCCGGAGTTAGTAGTGAGTGATTTATTAGGTAACTCAGGTAATTCAAGAGAAAACTTGCTTTTAGCCTAGTCTATGAGATGTTTAAACAAATCTCTGCCCACTCTTTGGCTCTTCACACTTGAATATTCACTTCTTTCTTTTAATGTGTGATGAATATTTAAAGTTTTGACAAGTATATTTTACTTTTACAATTGGATTAAGTCCTTGAAGGAAGGGATTGATCTGTATGCCTTTTTTTTTTAACCATCATAGACCATCATTGAGGATTTCATGAATATTCCTTTTACCCTAATTATTACTTTGCTGTTAGAAATGAGTATGTATGTACAGTTGTGCAGTTGCAAATTGCTTTCACAAATCATTCTGTAACCTGTTGGTTTAGTGAAAGTGCTGTGGTTTTCAGCTTTCAACTTTCAGGTGTGTTGAGAATGCTTTAGTGGTGTGCTACCAACTTTTGATTGATATGTAAGAGATTTTCCCCCCACACACACAATTGAGTGTATGGGCCTCTAAGGTGTGTATATACACACAGACACACATACATCAGATGTCAGTGTCAGGGGATTCAAAACTCAAATAGCTAGAGGGACAGGCAGGTAATAGAAATGAGTAAAACAGACAGATGGTAAACCATAGGGAGTCGTGGAAACTGGGATAAACTGTGGAGGGAATGTTCTAAAGGGGGCAACCTCTGTTCAGCTCTCCTTCTGTTGGTTGGGAAGATGAGTCAACTTTACCAGATATGATTTTTCAAGAGAAACTAGAAATCTGTACTTATTTTTTTATTTTGATAACGTGTAATTTGTAAATGTCAGCAATAAAACAGAAACTGAGAACCAAACAAGATGTGATGTAGATCGCAGGTAACTGTGACCTGAGAATGTGTGGATTAATGTCAAGCTGGCACACATTAAATACCAAGAAAACAGTCAGTGCCTTTTGCATGTATAGAAGTGGTCAGGCAGAAATCAATTTTTCTTAGACAGCAATACAATGCAGAGAAATAACTGAGAGAATGTGGTAATAACTAATGTCAAAGTATGGTTTTCAAAAAGTTAAAAACATGATTCTTGTACCAAAAAAATGGACGTGTATAACATTTATTAAACGTATCAGTACATGAAAGAGTCAGTAGGTAGTAATGTTGATTTAAGGAGAATTAAGGACTAGAGATTTAAGGACTAGTGATATAGTAGTTACAAAACTGGTTACTGTAACCCATGGGCTTATTGGATAGAGATGTACAAATTAGCATCAAACCGTTATGGGGCTAACCCAGGAGGAACCAGGGATGACCTAGGTTATGAGTCCTCACCTGCACTTAGGGATACAGGACAACACCCAAAGCAGATATCCAAAGAGAAATTAAAAAAAAAAAAATTAAAAGGACTTATTTACACATGGAGTAAGAAAAGAGAGAGAAGAAGAAGGAGGCTTATGGCCAGCGCGTGGCTGGATGCCGTCTGTTCTACCTGCCATGGCATCAGCTGGACAGCACTGGGTGCCATTGGAAGTCAGTCCAAAAAAAAAAAAGAAAAGAAAGAAACACTGGCTTGCCTGTGCTCCAACATTTTAAGTCCCCATAGTAGCGGCTCTGCCCTGCCCCTAGTTCCTAGCAGCCCCTGTTTAGGAAGTTGGGGTGGAGTCGGGTTAGGGCCACCTTGGGCCTCCGACTGGCTTTGTGCCTCCCTCACTGGCTTGGAGGTTGTTCCTCTTGCAAAATTTGTGTCTGGACTCTCATGAAATAGTAGATAGCAGGGGCCTACCTGGTGACACAAGAGGTTAAGTCTAGCTGCAGCCACTGCAGCACGAGTTTGATCCCCTGCCAGGGAGCTGATCCACATGGCGCAGCAGACCTCTCCTTGTCTTGCCTGCTGCTCCCCTCAGCAGCGTATTTCAGTCAATTCGCCTGTTTTGCTCCCCACTCTGTCTCTGGTGAATCCTCTCACCTCCGCTGTTCCCCCACCTGTGGCCTCTACCCCAGTTCTTGCGTGCATAAATAAATAAATCTTAAAAAAAAATAGTAGCTAGCAAACTCAACTGTAAGTACATCCTCTTAGAGAATTAAATAATTCTTGAGTGTTTGTTAAAAATGTCCTGGTGTGACAGTGAAAGGATATTGTCATCCTCTGCCTTTATTTCCTCATTGTAGATATTCTTAAGATTGCGGATTTTATATCATAGTTAAAGGGAATTATTACTCCCTTACTTAGTGCAGTTTTAAGCTTACTGTTCCCCTCAACTCTGCTGCCAAAACTTCACTACTTGGGTGGCGCAGGCGGTTGAGCGAAGTGCTGTGAAGCTGTCCGCAGCCTCTGCAGTGCCGGTTAGATCCCTGCCGGGAGGGTCCCACATGATGCGGCAGACCTCTCCTGTCTCGCCCGCTGCTCCCCTCACAGTGTATTTCATCAGTTTGCCTGTTCTGCTCCCCGCTCTGTCTCTGGTGAATCTTCTCACCCTCTCATGAATCTGGCCTGTACCCTGGTTCTTTTATAAATAAATAAATAAATCTTTAAAAAAAAAAAAACAAAAAACTTCACTACTTTTCCAGGTATGTGTAGCAGCCTGCAAAG